CTGCCTCCTCGCCCCCTCGCGGCCCTGTCCCAGCCACCCACTGGTCCCACTTGTGCTCTGGGTTGTCTGGCTGCTGGTTGTTGTCTGGATTCTGGTTGTCGCCTGGCTGGATGTTCCATGGTTTTTTGTCACCTGGTGAGTGACCCCCTGGCTGAGGAGCCCCAGCAGGGGGTGGCCGCAGCAGAGCAGAAAGAGGAAGAGGAGGATAGGCAGTCCTGGAGCAGCCCAACCTTGGCCCATGGCCACTGGAGAGAGAGCCCTGCAGCCACCGCCCCCTGGCCAATAAGAGCGGAGCCTGCAGTGTGACCTCATAGAGCAGCGTGACCGGTCAGCCTGTCTCCAGGGCACCCTCAGACCTGGGCACACCCTCTCTAAAATGCTGGGGGAAAGACAGCCCCAACCCTACCCCAGGGCCCCGCTGATGAGCTAAGGGGCTGCCTGGCCCTTCAGAGCTGGGCACCAGGGCCAAGCTGGGGGAGTTGACCAGGAACTGGAAGGGGGGCCTGGGGTCTGGAGCTCAGAATTGAGAATGTGCTTTAGGGGGCCCGCCCCACTCTCACTCAGAACTTTACCAACGTCATCTGGGTAATTGTTGGGCAACGGGGGCTGCCACTGATATTCTGGCCAGCCCAGGACCTCGCCATTCCGCTCGTTCTGCTCCTGTAGCCACTGGCTGACTGGCTGGAAGTAGTTGAGCAGCGGCTGAGCGTCCATGGTATCTGAGCCGATCATATCCTTCAGCACCTCCTGCCAGGGCCTCGAGGAGCCTGCCCGCAGCACCTCCCTGCCAGGCAGAGCAGGCACCATGACACGGGGACTCAGGCCAGTGTTCACTACTGGCCCACTTGCCCTCCCTCCAGCCACTTCTGCCCCCCAGCAGACTTCGAGAACAGGGGCACTAACACTTTGGGATCTAGGATCTCTATGAAGGGGGCAGGGTCCGGGGCCTCAGATCTGGGCACACTTAATAAATGTGTGATGAGAAAGAAAGCATGGGGTAGGGAATAAAGTTGGCCCCCATCAGGCTGGCCCTGTGGTGCCCCACTGGAGCAGCCAGCTGCCTCCAGACATACCCTTCACCAGCCTCTTCCCTCCCCCGCCCACTTCCCCTCCATTTTCTCCCACACACCGGAGCTTGTCCCCTGCCTTGGTGGACTGGTAGATGTCACACTGGTGCAGTGGGCCCTCATGGCCTGCCTCCTTGCACAGGGCTTGATGGAACTGGAACTGCAGGACAAAACTCACAAAGTACCTGCAGGCACAGGGTGGGTTTTAAGGGGACTGGTGAGGGTCCCTTGCCCAGGCACTGTCCAGCTTCCCACAGAGCAGAGGCTAGACAGGCTGCCTGGGGAGAAGGGAGAACCAAGCCTAGCCCAGGAGAGGGACCCACTCGATTTCCAGGGAAGGATGTGGGAGCCAGCCCTGGGAACGGGGTGGGGCCAGAGTCACCGAAGTAGAGGGAATGGGACTAAAGGTTTGCCTGAACTGGGTGGGGCAATAGTACCTGATGTATGGTGTCATATGTGGGACGTGAAACTTAGCTCCAGCATCAAAGTGCGTTTCATTTCGGACAACTGGAGCACAGACGCCCTGATACTTGGTTCTAGAAGGAGATGGTTAAATTATCTTAGGACCTAAGGTGTTGAATATAGGCTGAGTTAACCTTTGCAGAAAAGACTGCCAAGCAGGCATTCCCACCTGCCATCCCTTCCCATCCTGGTGAGTTGGGGAGGAAGGGTTCCTGGAGGAGGGCGTTTTCAGCAGGAAAGAAAGCAGTGGGCCAAAGGATGGAGAGTCATTAGAGAAGAGGGGCCTGGGACTGAAGGAGGCAGGAGGCTCCTGCTTGCCCAGGAGGGCGAAGGGCCGGCCGTTTGGGGTTAGGCCCTCCCTGATCCCTGTTTACTCACCGAAGATACCACCAGTCAAAGTTGTAGCGGGAAGGGGGGGTACGTCCACTAAAGACCCCCCAACGCCACTGATCCACCAAGTAGCCGAAGGGCAGGAAGGCAATTTTTTCCAGTGCCATCTTTAACAAGTAATTAATGTCACTTTCTGTTGGGAGATGAGAGGAGAGAGGTTGGAGAAGAAAAGGGAATCTGGCTGGGATCCCGTGGGCCTGGGGAGGAGCCCACGGGAGGGATGGCTGGGCAGACGCAGAGAAGGGAAGGCCAGCCTTCGAGACCATGGCGCCCTCTTGGCAGAGGGTCCTTGGGCAGTGTTGAGTTGGGACTCAGGGTGGGCTGTGAGGCACCAGGTGGATCCTCAAACCTGCCTGACCTAAGTAGTGTAGCAGAAATGAGAAGGACAGATGGGCGCAAGGGCAAGTGGAGTCCTGCTGTGGGTGGAGTGGGGCTGGGTGGAGCTGCGTTGGGTCCTCTATGGCCCCCATACCCGTGTCGTTGACAACTTGGTCCAGCAGGCCGATTTTGTACAGATGTGCAGGGGTAGATACGGAGAGGGCCAGCACATCCCCGATGGCCTCGTGGAAACCAGGGTTGGCACCCTGGCGCAGGGAGACAGGCTGGTCCTTGTACTGCAGGTAGTACTGGATATGGCCCATCTCATGATGCACAGTGGAAAGCTGGTCCATAGCGACCCGTGTGCACTGCTTGATCCTGCGGCAGGGGCAGGGTAAGGGTGAGAATAAAGAATAGGGCAGGACAGGGACCAGAGCATGGGGAGAGGAGCTGGCGGAAACACGCAGACCCTTTACCTTGCCCCAGCCCTCATCATTCCAAGGTACAGAAGTGACTTGTCAAAGCTGCTGAGGAAAGGCGGCCCAGTGGCAGCCCTGGAGTAGGCCAGCCCCTCCTCTACCCCCGCCAGTGTTGGGGCTTTGACTGAGGTGGGCCTGGGAACTGGTTTCTCTGCGCCCAGGCTGCCTGCCCTTCTTGAAGCCCCAGAACCTTCCTCATCCTGCCCCGTGTCTAGACCTGAAGTCCTTCCTGTTGTAGAAGTCCCAGGCGGAGGCGTGGCACACCACCTCACGCCCGTCGTTTGGTTTCTCCAGCATGGACTCTGCCCAGAACTCAGGAGGCATGGGCAAGAGCCCCAGGGAGGTGAAGAACTCCTCTGCCACCCGGAACATGTGTGTCGCGTTCCAGCCCTGGTGGGGGGCGGGTACAGGTCAGGGGCCGGCTGCCCCAAGCTCACTGTGGCTGCCCCGGGGCAGGGCTGGGGTCCCCCACCCAGGTCAGCTCTCTGCCCATGAAGGGTGTGTCTGCTCTATGGCCTCCCTTCCCAGAGGTGGGGCCCCTAATAACGACAGTGGATAAACAAAGAGGACTCCTCACACCCCGCCAGTGGGGGCCTAGAGAGGGGCTGGCACCTCACAGAGGACATACACCTCAGCTCATCGCTTGTACACAAACTTCAGGCTGCTTCTCTGTAGAAAGGAAGGGACCAAGGTCCCTACCCAGCCCATCTCCCGCACAGGACCCCTTGCCGCCCCTCTCGTCTCCCTCTCATTGCCTCCACCCTGACCTGCCCCGAGCTTACCTTCTGTACCATCCTGTCGGTGACGTCAAGATTGGGCTTGTCAGGAAAAGGCACCACCATGTCATAGATGTTGTCCCAGCTCTGGGCCCACATGTCCCCTAGACAAAGGAGGGGAGCCAGAGAGCTTGGTTCCCTGCCCAGCCGGAGCCTGCTTCCCCATCCTGGCACCCAGCAGCACCCTGGGCCACAGTAGCCAGACCCTGGGACTGAGGCCAGAAGTCTCCACATCAATCCCATTCACAGTCCCAAGTGCTCCATGTGCCTGGGGCTGGCCAAGCAGAAGCCCGGGCAAGGCTGTTGGGGCCCTTTGTGAGGGAGCTGGGACCCCTGCTTCCCAGGCCTGAGGCAGGGCTCAGGGATGGCTTCCTGGGGGTAACCATGATTACTCTTCTTCCTCCTGGCGTCCAAGCTCAGTGTGGGTCCTGGCTCTGCCTTTTCCTAGCTCTCTGACCTCTACCAAGACACTTATGTGCCCTGAGCCTCAGGGTCCCCGTCTGGAGAGCAAGGATGGTAATGAGAGGATCACCTGCTTTATGATGGTATTGGGTGAGCTACATGGGCTTGTGTGTATGGGAGGGAACAGGGCAGTGCTTTAAAATGTGAGACATGATGAGGACAGATGAAAACCATCCCTGGGATGTGTGGAGGCCAGGCCAGGTCCTTACCCAGCAGGTGAGCAGGGATGGGTCCCCTGAGGTTGATGTATCTGTCCCCATAGCGATGGTGCAGCCTGCGGCGGACGTAGGCATGGAGGTTCAGGTAGAGGGGCTCTAACTGTTGGTAGAGGTGCTCCAGATCCTCCACGAAGGTGGGCGACTCATACCAGGAGCGCCAGTAGTCCCCCGTGTCCGCAAAGCCTAGCAGGGGGTGGTGTTGGGGTGCAGCTCAGGCTGGAGGCTTTGGCACCCCCGCCTCCCAGCTACCACTTCCCCACTATCCTGGCTCAGGGCCTGTGTGGAAAGGGGCTGGAGAGGGTCTGGAGAGGGGTTTGAGGGTTGCCGGTCTACAGTTTTCTAACTGGGGGTTGAACTCCAGCTAACTAGATCCTGGAGAGCCAAGAGGCAACCATGAGTGCTTGGGAGGGGAGGAGTGCCTGGAGGGGCAGGGAGGAGGGATGGTGTCAGGGCGAGACAGCAGCCTGGTAGAAGGCAGACGGAGCTCAAGCCTGGTTCCGCCATCCACTATCCATGAGACCTGGCCTGTGGATGGTCATCCCAACAGCTGCTCTGCCTGCCTCAGGGGCGGGGGCGCAGTGGAGACAGTGGACAGGACAGCACCTTTCAAGCTGGGGAGGGCGGGGCACACTCACCATCCTGCTTGTGGGCCTCATTGCTGAGAGCAGTGAATTCCTCATATAGGGGTTTCAGTGGGATGCCCACTGCATTGTGCCAGCCCTCCCAGATATACAGCAGCAGGCCGTAGTTTCGTGTGACAGCCAGGACATGCATGAGGTCTGAGAGACAAGTGAGCAGGGTCAGTTAGAAGACTTCTGTGTCGAAGTTGGCATCACCATCATGGCAGCTCCCACATTGGTCCTTTCTGTCTCCACCTGCTTCCTCAACATCATGACACCCCCAAAGCCAAGGGCAACCTATAAGCTGGGTGGAACGGGGCTGGGAACTATATGAAGCAAGCAACCAAGGCAGGGCCCTTGTCTCCAGGGAAACGATGATCTAAGGTGGTTGACACAAAGAGGACATCCAGAGGCCGAAACCCAGACAGACCCTTCATAGCTCATTGGATGGAGTGGCTGACCTCAAAGTGGCCTAGGAAATGGGGGTGGGGTGTGAGGAGAGGGGAGGAGGGTACAAGTGAAAGCCAGAAGGGATCTAAGGCCTATGGAGGGCTCTTGGGGAGACGGAGAGGACCCATGAAAGGGGGAAACAAAACAAAACAAGGCAGGAGGAAGGCTAGTGGCAATGGGACAGGCCAAAGCACATGTGGGGTGGGGGTGGATGGCACTGGAGATTCTAGAAGTCAGTTTGCCAGGAAAAGCAGGGGCATGGGGGCACCTGACAGCCATTGGGTTCACCCACTCTCTCCACTGGTCATCCTCCTGGGTGCAGGGTGAGGGGAAGGGCTAGAAATAGACAGTAGCAACAGGGTCGTACCTGGGTCCAGGTACCCGCAGGTGTCATTCCTGTTGGGGTAGCAGACCTTGGCGGTGGAGAAGATCCTGTTCATGTTGCTTAGCAGAGAGTTGTACTAGGGAGAAATGAGAACCTGTTAGTGATGGATATCACCAGGACCACCTGGCCAGCCCCTCCTCTTTTTGCTAGAAGGAAAAGAGGGCTCAGAAAGGGGATGTGGCTTGGACAGGCCACTCGATGGCGCCAGGAACACTTCTGATTACTAGTACACCAATTCCCCTTCCAACAGAGGCAGCCGCTGAAGGTGGAGACAAGTGTCCCGAGAGTTAGGCGGTGGGCTCCCACCTCAAAGGGAGGGCAGATCCCTCTCACTCTCTCCGGCTTTGATACCTTCTCAGTCCTCAATCTTTCTAAGGAAGTCTATAAACCAAACCAGCCTATGGAGAAATTCTGGAAACTCCTGTTTTGTCTTTTATTGTTTACTTGCATTTTGCTTTCTACGCCATAATACTTGCTGTAACATAAAATAACCTTTCCATCCTATCTCCAAGGAAAAGCAAAGCTTCAGAAAGCCATTCTATCCTCATGCTGGTTTCCCCTGCGGATCCCAGGGTCCCTCCCTCCCAGACTCCCCTCCCCATCTCCCCAGCTGGGCACTGGCAGGCACCCCGGGCCACACCTCTGCCTCCACCCTCAAGTCCACCCTCAAGTCCACCGGGCCCACCTGCTGCCGCTTCTCCAGGGGCAGGTTGGCAGGGCCCAGAATGCGCACGCCACTGAGGACCCTTCGCAGTATTGGGTCGGTGAAGTTCTGCCAGATGGGGTCGTACAGTTCCTTGGCCTTCTGGCCCCAGACCTCGGCAAACTCTTGGTTGAGCAGGGATGCTTCCTCCTGTGGGCACCAGGAGGGCAGGGAAGTGTATGTGGGGAGGTCAAGGTGCTGGGGGAGGGGAGGAAGGCCAAGGGCTCCTGGAAACTGGGGCTTTAGAGAGCATTACCTCCTCTTGGGCCCTGGGGTCAGGAACTGGGGGGCTCTGCCCGGGGGAGCGGTGGAGCAGAAATTGGGGCCAGAGGAGAGGCAGAGGGAGGAGAGGGAGAATAGACAGTGATGAGCGGAGACAGAAAAGTGAGAGGAGTAGGCTGTGGCCAGAGAGGACGAGGGTCCAGAGCAGAGTGGGCGCCCTTCGCGGAGACCGCCGCTGACCCCGCCCGAGGTCATCCCTGGGCGCTGCCCCCGAGGGGACTCGGTCGCAGTGGAGCCAGCCTCGTCCATTCAGCCCCTGCGCTGGCACGGACCATGTGCCCAGCACCGTGCTAGGCCACCCACCTC